TCTGACGATACCTCCAGGTGTGTGAGCATGTCTGCTACACAAGCGTCCTATTCATCGGCTAAGGCTCCATTCCATTTGTTGAATGTTCCATTTGTTGTATATTGCAGGAAAGCAATATACCCTTTCTTTAGAAGCCAATATTTATACACAGAGTGACTAAAATACTGGTATGTTGGACTTAGCAATTAACGGACCAGAAATAACCTGATTTTTTTTTTTCCTTCTGGGTTGCTGTTCATTGTTTACACTGTACATTATACCATTTCGGGAAAGCACATAGCTAGAAAAATGCTACCTAGTCATAATACTCACTTTTTCCTTAAATATTCTTATTTTGAGCCACTCAGGCATGAGGGGAAAAATAGTAAGAAATATGTGAGAAAATACACATAAAAACACAAGCAAGATTATTAAATACAAATTGAATCTTCTCTAATGAGAGGTTTATAGTAGAAAACAAGGTTGCAATGTTATATTACTTGTATATGTGCACGGTTAAATCAAAAACCAAAACCTTTTATTGAGATTTTGAGGTTTATGTAGGCACCTCGTAGCATGTTGGATGTCGTTCAGGAATTTTCTGAAAGAGGAAGCTTGTTTATTAAGTGAAGAGTGATGTGTGTTTGAAGCAGGCATAGCAAGAAAATCACCCTACCATCTTGGAGTAAATATTTAAAATTGGATCGCCCAGTCACATTTGCAACTCCATCTAACCTAATAAGTCTATACAGGATTGTCGGTTAGATGTCAGCACCTTAACATCACAGGAGCTGCCTCCTGCTTTTCTAAAACAGAAATCTTTGCTATAAAATGCTTTTAATAAAATAGAGGTTTTAGAAGCTTAATAGTGGTGATTTATCTCCATCTGTCAATCAACAGGCACATGCTGTGTGACTCGTGTGTACAAGGCCCTGGATTAGGTCCCAGGGGCTCCTAGTGTATTGGCAGACTTTTCTGTGATAGAGAAACCTCTTTACTATGTATGGGTGAGGGCCACACTGTGAGGTTAAAATTAGTCAAAGAGCTCCTCTAGAGCAAACATGGCCTGGAAAGCTATGGGCAGGAAGGAAGCGGCACTGTAATAGTATGTATCCAAGTTTCATTTAATGATCGATGACATGTCCTTTCCCAGAGAACAGCAATAGGTCAAGACAAACAGATCTGGAAGTTTTGGAAGGTTAAAGGCTTTGGATTTCATGTATCTAGAAATTGCTAAGGGGATAAAAATTATTCCCTAAGAGATAAACACCTAAGTATACGTCATTCAGTAAGATTAAAGAGATCCCCAAAGAAGAGGTAAATGCCCTCTTCATTTTTCTCTATTCTCTTACTTCCAACAAAGGGAAAGGAAGGAAAATACAAAGCTTTTTGTTTCCTCTTGAAGTCAGAGATTAACTATGGCTCATTTCGGTGGAGCCCATAAATCAGGGTATTTGCTATATTTTTGGAACCTTTCAACATTGTCATTTATAAGCTGTTCTCTTAGAGTTGTTAACCTCTTTGAAAATAAGCAGTAACAATATTTTGCTCTTGTACACATCGTCCATATTTTATGCAAATTTTTGACATGGTAACTATCTTGTCAGCGGGAATGTCAGCTTCCTCCTAAGTACATTGTGTGGTGATTTGGAAGAGTTTCGGACCAAATAATCATAAGGTTAGAAAAACACGAGGTAAGCTAATTCAGGTTGCCCAGAGTTCCACTTAATTGGATTTATTGCAAGAGTACTAAAGTTCATGAATTTGCCGTCGACATTGTTAACATGCTCTAAGTATTTCCATCCTGTTTACTTATTAGGCAATAAAGTCTGCATTCCTAGAAGTGCCTATTTTATCTTGACAAACAAGTGTTTCTACGCATGAGAAAGGCTTTCAGTTCATGGTGGAAATCAGTTCTAAAAGGATATGCCCTTTGAAATCTGTCTCTCCATCTGGACACAGGCTCTTTGGGTTTAAGTGTACAGTGGTGGGAAGTATAAGATAACCCTGGATTTTTCACACTGCAGAAAGGAAAAATAATAATGCCTGGAGTTAGGACCCCAAAACACCAAGAGGCGGGACTTTCCTTAATGGTGCCATTAACTTGGAGTAGATTCATTTAATTTTCCTTTTGCTTGGTTTAAGACCCTGTGCTATAGGAATGATAAAGTGGTGAGCAACTTCATTGACTGACTCCATGTTCAACACACTCTGGTTCTTCCATGTTCATTGGTGAGCCATGGATTATTTCATCATCTGGATGCCTAGAAACTCTGAGGGAGTCGTATTCTAGAACTATGAAAGTAACCAATGAAGAACTTGGCTTTGGTAAAATAACGGTTTGAAAGTATATGTTTCAAAGTGGTAAAGGCTTGGCAGGTAAGATCTCTCTGGTACTGTGAACCAAAACCTCTGAAAACCTCTAAATAGAATTCATTTGTTTTCCAGTGGTTTCTTTTTTGTGTGACACTAATATCTGTATTTTTACTGTAAAACTGGGACTCAGAAATAACGAGATAAGATTCTCCTTAGCTGGGACTCCAAATGGTACTTTAATATAGAAATATTTGGAATCATTTCTTCTTTGAAAGACATCAAAAGAGAGTGATATTAAAATGAGTAGAGTTCAAAGGTTTTTTTTTTTTTCTAAATAGAGACTTTGGTATGGTCCAAGAAGATAATCTCTGAAGGGCTAAACCAGCTAAGGTTACTAGCCACACAGGAAGCCAGTGCTGTTTAATCTTATCGCTTCTGATTTCCTACCAAATGGCATTTAGGAGTCACTGATAATTTCCTGGCATTTATTATTACTGGAGATTTATTTGGTTCCTCTACTCAGCTCTTAATAAGAAAGCAAATCTTTGTCAAATGCACAATTTCAATATGGAAAAGCTAATAAGACAAGGATTTTATGTGACATGTGAAAGACCAACAAGAAAGAATTAAGGAGAGTGATTTTCAACATGCTATCACTGTGACAGACACTTTTCTATACGCACAGAGGCTAAAGGCAGTTTAAAAGCTGCCTTTTGTAAACAGTGCATAGTTCAAGGAGATGGACCCTGGTTTCATCAGGTCTCTACTTTTCATTTCTAACACAATTATGTAGGGGAAGGAACATTCTGCTTTCTTTTTGGGGTGAAAGTGCCACTAAGAACCATTCTCTGGTTGCAGTAAATCTCCGAACTGTGACATGATGTCTCAAGCAATTGTCTTTGTCCAAGAATGCCACTTATTTGCTTCAGTCATCAGTTCTATGGAGATGAGGGGCTCTGTCTGTGTGCCAGCATGAGTAGGAGCTGGGCTGGCCCAGAACATGACGTTTGTCAGTGGTCCGATTCTGTCTGGGGGCTGGCTTCAGAAAGTGACCAAATTCTGACTGACAGTTCACCAGCCTTCACTGAGGCGTGGTCTGAGGCACAGGGTGTGGTTTCCTTAGCTCATGCTCTGCTATTTGGTTGCCTATGGCAACAGGATCCAAACAACTTGGACATGTGTTTGTGTATATATATATAAAAAAAAAACACTGGGAATGAGACCCAAAGTGAGAGTTGGGGCCACTCAGTTAGTGGAAGAGCTGCGGTAAGTATTGGGCAATTAACTGCTCTTTGCTTCTCCCTCATTCTTTTTCTCTAAATTACGCTGGGAATGTCTGCTAGCACAATAACCATGTTTGTGGGTAGTTGGAGAAAATAGTGTCCATTCTCGTGTTTCCTGCACAAATTAAATAATTGCTTTCGATTTGGCCATGTAAGTTTCTTTTTCAGGGACAGAAGAACAAGTTAGTGTATGTTTAAAGAAGCTGAGAGTTAATAGCTATTCACATTTGGTACCTTTTGGGTAGCAGGTTTAACAGAGTGCCTTAGCAATGCTTGTGATTGCAGGCAGATGGTCTAGGGTCAGGGATGGGTGGGGGAGGGAGAGAAGGGGGATTGTTCATATGAAGGCAATGGAAGGGGTTCTTGGGCTTAACATTTCTTGAAAGTCATCCTCCCCAGATTTTACTTTAAAATCGCAATTTTTAAAACAGCAAATGTCCTAAGTAGTAACACTTCATTGATTTTATCTATCCTCATTTTCTTGAACGAAGGGGGATTTGATTTTGGGGAGTCACGAAACTGCACATCCCTGCGACAAGTAATTCATAGTTGCAAAATTTGCTAGTACTGATTGAGAATGCCACTTTTATAAATCCTCTCTTGTTTGATTGCTCAGGTCTAAAAAGTCAGTAAACTATCTTGGACAAAATTTCTTAGGATCATTCAGGGATTAAAAAGTGTTCTGCCATATTTAAAGTAAATGCAGACATTTTAAACAGATTAATACGGATTGCTTGTATGTCTGGCATAGTCTAGAGTCAGCAGTACATTTTTCTTCAGGCAAAGTGAATTTTACAAACAGGAAACAGAGACTCCAGAGGATGCTATTCCCCCACAAAACAAGTTACGAAGAATGATCTGGAAGCTGGCAGGGACATTTCTGGCTCACTACGTAGAACACAGCCCTTAAAGCAGAAGGTCTGGGTACCTCCCTCCCGCAAGCTGGCCGAGCCAGCCAGCGTGTCGCCGGGCTGAGCATCTCTCTTCTGAGCAGCTACTGCATGCGGACTGTGCCCAAAGCTGTGTGTCCCTTTGTATAAAACAACTCCTTCTCTCTTGCCTGCTCCATCACACCCTTGCACTGTTCACATCACTGCTCAGATTCACCACAAAGCCCAGGGGCCCTGTCTGGCCAACACAAGCTCTGATTTACTTGTCCTCATCAGTGTCCTATGAAGCAGCACAGTGGGATATGCCAAGAGGGGTGTCTCCCAAGTTCCCAGGGACTCACTAGCCATTGGCCTTCTGGCTCCTGGGAAGCTACTGTCAGGGGTTCTTTCTTCCCAGGAGTCATAGTGAAGTATCTGTTACCTTGGCGCCTGCAGCCCCAGCACGACCTCGAGCAGCTGTCCGGGGGAGCCTCTGCGGCAAAGCACGCTGGCCTTTCCATTGGTCATTTGTTCTGCCCGCTTGCCCCCACAGGTCCTTCCAGGTACAAGGTGGGCACCATGGCCGAGAAATTTGACTGCCACTACTGCAGGGATCCCCTGCAGGGGAAGAAGTACGTGGAAAAGGATGGCCACCACTGCTGCCTGAAGTGCTTTGACAAGTTCTGCGCCAACACCTGTGTCGACTGCCGCAAGCCTATCGGTGCGGACTCCAAGGTAACTGGTCTGCACATGGGGACGGGACAGGGTGGCTTTCCTGCAGCTGAGACAACAAAAGCTCGCCTTCTGCTGAGTTCTCATCACTGTGGCCTCCCGTGTGGAAGGCAAGGCAGGCAGCTGTCTATGTGGGGCTTGGACTGGCTGGCGCCGAGGCCCATGCCAGCTCTTTTGGTCGTACTCTTGTTTCAGGAGCTTTGAGTCTTCCATCCTCACCTCAGTGTCCCTGACGTTACAAGAACATTCATCTTGGTGTATCCCCGGGGTGTTAAGGGTGATGTCATCTCAGTAGTTGGCCCCTGCTCACCCCCCGCCCTGTCACTCACAGCAGCCCGTACCCTTCTGCTTGGTTTCCAGGAGGTGCACTATAAGAATCGCTACTGGCATGACACCTGCTTCCGCTGTGCCAAGTGCCTTCACCCCTTGGCCAATGAGACCTTTGTGGCCAAGGACAACAAGATCCTGTGCAACAAGTGCACCACACGGGAGGACTCCCTCAAGTGCAAGGGCTGCTTCAAGCAAATCGTGGCAGGTACTGCCCACACTCACCCCCCTGGGGCGGCCAGGGAGGAGGCCTGAGAGCAGAGATGGTGGCGGGGGGAGGGGTTGCTTGTGAAAATGGGGCTAATGCTACTGTGAGCTGCTCTTAGCTTTTAGCATATATATGCACGCATATATATACATGTATACATGCGTACACATATATGCTCGCACACACGCACACACTCGGAAACTAAAGACCACTGGAGAGAACTGTCTGTGGCAACAGAAGGAAGTGAAAAGTATGTAGCACTTTCTCATTTGGGAATAGTAAGTCATTGAAGCATGCTTCCTCCTTAGGGTATAACTCTGGGTCAGCCAGTCCCCTAGGTTATCTCTAAGTCCACAAAGGGCATGGGAGTGGGAGTGGGGACTCAGGCATGTACTCCTCAAACACTACAGCAGGGGTCCCCTCCCCAACAGATCTGGGTTGGCACACGCACAAGTAGGCCACTGTCGAGAACCCCTCACAAGTAGGTTCATCAGAAGCATGGGGCCAGTAACTGCAGGGCCTGCATTCCCTCACCTCTGGAGGGCCCAGGGTGGGAGCCGAGTGGATGCAGACCCTGCAGAATACACTCAGTGGGGCTATCCAATTGTTTCTCCCCACCCCACAGGAGATCAGAACGTGGAGTACAAGGGGACCGTCTGGCACAAAGACTGCTTCACCTGCAGCAACTGCAAGCAAGTCATCGGGACTGGAAGCTTCTTCCCTAAGGGGGAAGACTTCTACTGCTCAACTTGCCACGAGGCCAAATTTGCCAAGCATTGCGTGAAGTGCAACAAGGTATGTTGTCAAGAGAGTTCTGTGTGGACTGTTGTTTCTAGAAGCGTTTGACAGTTGGCAGAGCACTTGCACACACACTATCCCATTCCATCCCCACGACAGCCCTGTGACGTGGGAATTATTATGCTCATTTTACAGATGAGGAGACTGTGGTAGGAAGAAAGCAGTGCCTGAGCCAAATCAGGCTGTCTGACGGCACTCACCCCGGAGGCGTGGGCGGCCCTGGCTCTCCAGGCCAGCCTCTGTCACCTAGTGACTATGTAACCTTGCCTAGGGGCTCGCCTTCTCTAAGCCTCAGTGTCTCCATCTGTAACTCGGGGATAATAATAGCACCTGCCTCCCATGGCCGTTGTGGCGATTAAATGAGATACTGTAGACCAAAGCGCCCAGCACAGTGCCTGGCACGTAGTAGGCATTCAACAAAATGGTTGTTGAATCTGAATCCGGTGCTACACTCCCTGGTCTAGGCCATCACATCTGGAGGAATCACTTACCAGGATCAGCCCTGGCATGCCGAGTGCTTTGTGTGTGTTACCTGCTCTAAGAAGCTGGCTGGGCAGCGTTTCACCGCTGTGGAGGACCAGTATTACTGCGTGGATTGCTACAAGAACTTTGTGGCCAAGAAGTGTGCTGGATGCAAGAACCCCATCACTGGTAGGCTAAAGAGTCCTTGCTAAGTAAGCCAGGCTAGGTTTTGCGCATGGTAACCATCTCTCATTTTCCTGTGTCGTCGGTTTCATCCACAAAGACCCCAAAGAATACCCTGTCCCCTTGCCATTGTGGTCCCAAAGCTTCCCAAATAGTTTGGATTCTCCCCCAGGCCAGGTTAGCTTTTGCAATACAGAACACTTCCTGACTGCTGCTGACTAACGATGCTGTGCTGCGGATTTCACGAGCCTGAGACCTGTGGCCACGGGCAGGCACTGCGTGCGTGCGCGTGATTATGGGGGTAGGGGTGGGGGAGGTGGAGAGTGGGGAGGGAGGGAGAAGATGTAAGAGGGAAGGGAGGGGAGGGGAGGGTGGAGAGCCATAGGATGGGATCATAACACCCTTAGCGGAAGGCTAGCTTAGAGGTGCCTGTGGGCTGCTTATATTGCGATCAGGAGCCAAGCTAATCACTTCATTCATCATCTCGCGGCCGCGATCCACGTGCCCTGGGCCCTTTCCCTGCCTCCACTGTTCCCATCTCCCCGGGGAGCCTTGAAATGTACATTTGAGAAGACTTTTGCCATCCTCAGGGAAAAGGACTGTGTCAAGAGTGAGCCACCCAGTCTCTAAAGCTAGGAAGCCCCCAGTGTGCCACGGGAAACGCTTGCCTCTCACCCTGTTTCCCAGCGCCAACCTCCGGGGCAGGCATCCGGGTGGAGAGAGGACTTGTCCCTCGTGGGTGGTGGTTCTTTATAGAAAAAATCGAAGCTTAGCAGCTCCTCGAGGCCCGGTAAGTGCACACCCCGCGAACAGCTCAAGTTTGCCTCCTGGTGGCCAATTTGATGCCATGGCCCTGACCTAAATCACAGAGACTGGTTATGCTGGGAGGTCGGTGCGCGTCAAAGGGCAACCGCGGTAGCATGGGAATGTGGGTTTTTTAAATCAGGGAAGGCCTTGGCTGAGCTCCGGCATCTTCTCAGGTCCTTGAGAGCCATAACAGGGTTGCGGCAGCGTGGCGTGGGGGACAGTGCACGATGGAGAGGGTTGGCCTGGGAGTTGGGCAGATGCTGCCCCGGCGTGCTTGTTGGCTTTATGAACTGGCAAGGCGGTGGCGTGTTTCTCACCTGTATTCACTCAGCTGCCTCTTTTGTTCTCTTTTGTGTTTTCCACAGGGTTTGGTAAAGGCTCCAGTGTGGTGGCCTATGAAGGACAATCCTGGCACGACTACTGCTTCCACTGCAAAAAATGCTCCATGAACCTGGCCAACAAGCGCTTTGTTTTCCATCAGGAGCAAGTGTATTGCCCTGACTGTGCCAAAAAGCTGTAAAGTGACAGGGGCTCCTGTCCTGTAAAATGGAATTGAGTCT